ATCATCTCATCTATCCACATCTATTCATCCAATCATCCATATCATCATCAATCCGCATCTATCTATCATCTATCATCATCTATCTATCTATCTGCGTCTATCTATCTATCTATCTCATCATCCATCTATCTATCATGTCATCATCTATCTGTCAAATCTATCAATCACAAGGGAAAAAATCATCATCATCATCATGGGAAAATCCATCCTGTCATCATCATCATCTATCATTCATCATCATCTATCAAATCTCATCCATCATCATCATCCATCATCATCACCATCATCATCACCATCCATCTATCATCATCCAGTTATCATCATCATCACATCATCTATCTATCATCATCTCATCCATCACATCATCATCTCCATCTATCATCCATCATCATCCATCATCATCTCTCATTATCATCATCATCATCATCTTCATCATCATCATCCATCATCATCATCATCATCATCATCATCATCATCCATCATCTCCATTCATCATCCATCATCCATCCATCATCATCATCATCATCATCTCAATCATCATCATCCATCATCATCATTCATCATCATCATCATCATCATCATCAATCATCATCATCATATCATCATCATCATCATCATCCATCATCATCATCATCATCTATCATCATCCATCCATCATCATCATCATCAATCATCTCAATCATCATCATCATCATCATCATTCATCATCATCATCATCCATCATCATCATCATCATCATCATCATCATCATCATCCATCCATCATCCCCATCATCATCCATCATCATCATCCTCATCATCATCATCACATCATCATCATCCATCATCATCATCATCATCATCATCATCATCATCATCATCATCATCATCATCATTCCATCATCATCATCATCATCATCATCATCTCATCATCATCCAATCATCATCATCATCCATCATCATCATCCCATCATCATCATCCATCCATCCATCATCATCATCATCATCATCATCATCATCATCATCTCATCATCAACATCTCATCATCATCATCATCATCTCATCATCATCATCATCATCATCATCATCATCATCATCATCATCATCTCATCATCATCATCATCATCATCAATCATCATCATCATCATCATCTCATCATCATCATCATCATCATCATCTCATCATCATCTCATCATCATCTATCTCATCCATCTCATCATCATCTATCAATCATCATCCATCTATCTATCATCATCATCATCATCATCTCATCTCATCATCATCTATCATCATCCATCATCCATCTATCTATCATCCATCATCATCATCATCATCATCATCATCAATTCATCATCATCATCATATCATCATCATCATCATCATCTCCTCATCATCATCTCATCATCAATCATCATCATCTCATCATCACATCATCATCACATCTATCATCTACATCATCATCATATCATCCATCCATCATCATCATCATCATCATCATCATCAATCATCATCATCATCATCATCATCTATCATCATCATCATCACCCTCATCATCATCTCATCATCATCATCATCATCATCATCATCATCACATCATCATCATCTCATCATCATCTCCATCATCCCATCCTCATCCATCATCATCATCAATCATCATCATCCATCATCATCATCATCCATCATCATCATCTATCATCATCATCATCATCATCATCATCATCATCTCATCCTCATCATCATCACATCATGATCATCATGATCATCATATCATCATCATCATCATCATCCATCATCATCTCAATCATCACATCATCATCATCATCATCATCATCATCATCATCATCATCAATCATTCATCATCATCATCACCTCATCATCATCATCGCCATCATCATCCATTCATCATCGTATCCATCATCATTATTTCATCGTCATCATCCTCATCATCATCATTTCATCATCATCATCTCATCATCATCACATCTCATCATCATCACCATCCACTACCTCATCATCACATCATCCATTATTACCATCGTCATCTTCATCATCATCATCATCATCATCATCATCATCATCATCATCATCTCATCATCATCATCTCATCATCATCATCACCTCATCATCATCTCTCATCATCACCTCATCATCATCTCAATCATCATCATCATCATCATCAATCATCATCATCATCATCATCATCTCAATCATCACCTCATCATCATCATCAATCATCACCTCATCATCATCATCATCATCACCATCATCATCATCATCTCAATCATCATCATCATCATCATCTCATCATCATCATCATCATCATCATCATCATCACCATCATCATCATCATATCATCATCATCATCACCACATCATCATCATCATCATCATCATCATCATCATCATCATCACCTCATCATCATCACCTCATCATCATCTCAATCATCACATCATCATCATCACCTCATCATCATCACCTCATCATCATCTCAATCATCACCTCATCATCATCACCCCATCATCATCTCAATCATCACCTCATCATCATCACCTCATCATCATCATCACCTCATCATCATCACCTCATCATTATCACCTCATCATCATCTCAATCATCACCTCATCATCATCACCTCATCATCATCTCAATCATCACCTCATCATCATCACCTCATCATCATCACCTCATCATCATCACCTCATCATCATCTCAATCATCACCTCATCATCATCTCAATCATCACCGCATCATCATCTCAATCATCACCTCATCATCATCATCTCATCATCATCACCTCATCATCATCATCACCTCATCATCACCTCAATCATCACCTCATCATCATCACCTCATCATCATCACCTCATCATCATCTCAATCACCACCTCATCATCATCTCAATCATCACATCATCATCTTCTCAATCATTACCTCATCATCATCTCAATCCTCACCTCATCATCATCACCCCATCATCATCACCTCGTCATCATCACCTCATTATCATCTCAATCATCACCTCATCATCATCTCAATCATCACCTCATCATCATCTCAGTCATCACATCATCATCACCTCATCATCATCTCAATCATCACCTCATCATCATCATCCCATCATCATCTCAATCATCACCTCATCATCATCACCCCATCATCATCCCCTCATCATCATCACCTCATCATCATCTCAATCATCACCTCATCATCATCACCTCATCATCATCACCTCATCGTCATCACCTCATCATCATCACCTCATCATCATCTCAATCATCACCTCATCATCATCACCTCATCATCATCTCAATCATCACCTCATCGTCATCTCAATCATCACCTCATCATCATCTCAATCATCACCTCATCATCACCTCATCATCACCTCGCCATCATTACCTCATCATCGTAACCTCGGCATTATTTCATCGTCATCACCTCATCATTATCATTTCACCAGCATCATCTCAACATCATCACCTCATCATCATCACCATTACTACCTCATCAACATCATCACCTCATCAACATCACCAAGACCTAGTCACCAGGGGAAATTACTTGAAGACCACGTGAAAAAATCTCAACCTTCACCGGGGCTCGAACCCGGGAGATAGATCATCACAATCTGAGGAGAATGGCGCTGTGAGGAGTTGCCAGGGAATCTGGCCGACGCTCAACACTCAAGGGAAGGGCGAGACGAATATACAATCAGACGGTTACTGGTGCCATTGGAATTGGAACTCTATGCTTGCTGGTGAAGACGGGGACAGCGCACTTATGGGAATGTCCCGAGTGTTGTGATGATGATTATTATTTCAACATTCAACATTTCTTCTTCCTTAAGTCCATGTCGTGTTGCGTTGGTAGTCATGTTTATCCACAACCTTCAGTCTCGTGTACTTCTAGTCAGCAATTTCTTCATTGTTCATTGTTTAGTTCAGAGTTCATCTTTATCACACATCGGATATGACGATACGCGCTCGGATCTCCTCTGAGTAATCCTCCAAGCGTTTTTACGCTAGCAAATCGTAATGTCATCAACAAAACAGTAATTCTTTCAGTGCCAATGAACTCACAATACGTTCATTGCTTACGCTAATTGTAGCACTTTTTTTTTTGCCTTTTTTTTTTTTTTTTTTTAACTTTCCCTAATCCAATTTTATGTTAACCTCTTTATTTCCAGTTGTTATGATAACACCTTCTCTTCTCAAGCTGTGTTCTACAGCTCTGTGAGAGTAAACAATCTTTGCGCAAGGATGCAGAAAGTTTATCAACACTGTCTGGAACCTTAAGACTTTATTATTTGTATGATTGGTGTCAGTCCTATCTTTCAATCCACTTTTTTTTTAACTGTATCTTTTCTTGTTTCTCCGACAGCCTTCTAAGAATAGCATAATGTGGCTAAAAGATAGTTCCTTTCAGAATGTTTGTAATGAGGCAGATTATCTAAATATCCAGATCATTCCCTTTCCTTAAATTAGATCCACTGTCCAACAAATGGCTCCTCTTAAAATTTTTAGTTTTGGGTCCCCGTGCACAACCCACAGAAAGTTCATGTGAAAAATTTTCAAGAGATTCCCATTAGCTTTCCTGTGCCACACCATTCATTTTCTTTCTTCTTTTAACCGAGAATCAAAAACGAATTATTTGAAAACCACAAAATAAAAACACAAGCAGCAAATGGTTCTCTATATACTTTACTTTATTTCACAACAACCTCTAAATTGTTCAATTCAGTTAAATTATTTCAGCTTAGACGTAAACGTATTCTAAATTCGACATTCAGGGTTTATTTCCTCGGCGTATTCTTTGTGTACATTTCACTGGCGTTCAAGTACTTCCATCCTTTCGCTTTCTTTCTTTCTAGATATATTCATGAGATTAAGTGGACTCCAGTTTTGTTTTTGTCATAACACAGACTTGCACAGATCCTACAATTTGGGTCATTTATGTTATGATAAGGCTGCGCCCAAAGTTCGACGGTTTTGGTTCTCTATGTATTTCTCTGACCATTTAAATTTATGCTGATTTGGACTGAAAACTTGCGTCTGACTGATCGTTCTGAAATCTTCCAATGCGTGGTCTGGGTACGGCTTTGGCATGTACGTGAGGAACATTGTCCACGATATTTCCAAATCTTGGGAAGGCGAAAGTCCTGCCTGAAGCATCTTGGGAAATGAAATCCCCATAAGTGAATCTTCCCAAGGGAAAGGATCTTCGGTAGCGACCACCGCGGGGAGCTGGTCGAAAGAAGATTCGGGGATTTGAAAGGGGGAAGAAATCTGGTGGGTAGATAATGGCGTCATCTGAGAGGGCGTCGGCCAGAAACCTGGAGAACAGAATAAGAAAAATATATAAGTGTAATGTATGATCATACGTCCCAAGATGGAACGTATGTTTTGGTTATTATAAAGCGCCACTATGGCTGTAGTCGGGGGCCCTAATATAACTTAACGGTTGAATAACGGTTCTGGGATTCTCATCCAAATGCTGGCACTTTGTGTCAGGGTGTGTTTATCGCTCAGTGTGCTGTCCTCGTGACGGTAAACGTCAATGAATATGATGTGTATAAATGTGGACCCCAGCAGGGATGTGATATTGTTATTAGTCTTCGGTTAGCACGCATTGTTTCAAAATGAACTCGATGTTTCGGGTCGCTCGGTATTCCTCTCAACAGGTTTTATTCTGTGTGTGTGTGTGTGTGTGTGTGTGTGTGGGTTGGTGGGTGGGTGTGTGTGGGTGTGTGGGTGTAAATGTGTGTGTGGGTTTGTGTGTGTGTGAAAAGATATAAACAATTCTCATCGTCATCAATTTCTACTTCTACCGTTAAGCGTTGTGGGGAGGAACAGTTTGCGATCCACTGCTTGAAGGGCAGCATTGGCTAGTGCCATTCCGTGTCGATGTAGAAGCTCTTTAATATCATCAATCCATCTACTGCTAGAGCGGCCTCTTGTTTTCACTTCAGATCTTGTCATGTGTAATGCCTGCATTGGTAGTTGTTCTGGCTGCATTGTTACCAAAAGACCAAACCAACATCTTTTGTTCTCTCTCTCTCTCTCTCTCTCTCTCTCTCTCTCTCTCTCTCTCTCTCTCTCTCTCTCTCTCTCTCTCTCTCTCTCTCTCTCTCTCTCTCTCTCTCAATGAATTAGCTGCATGGTGGTGTTAGAAAGTGGTTATAACCAAAAACGAAAAATGAAAAATGTCAAATGTTATGTATTCTCAGTCCTGCTATATGGTGCAGAAACTTGGACACGAACAAGCAACTAGAGAATGGAACTGAGTCTCTGTAGATGTGAGTGTACAGAATAATAGGTCCTACTTCATGGAAACAAACAGTCCTATACGAAGGTTCTTGAAAGGCTACAAACGAAAAGAGAATTACTGAAATAAATAAACAAAGAGACAATTGAAATACTTTGGCCACATTAAAATACATAACATAATTTTTTAAACCATACTGGTTGGGGGGTGGGGGGGATTGAAAGCAAGAAAACAAGAGGTAGGCAGCGACACAAGTGGGAGGACAACGTCAAGAGGTGGACGGCGAGCAGTCTGAGAGAGTGTACAGCCAGGACAAGAGACCAGCGTGTTGTAGATACATTGCAGCCAACCTGCACTGTGGAGACGGCACCTAAATGATTGATCTACAGAGTCAAATGGGAGCCGCCGTGGTGTAGCGGCTAGAGCTCACCTGCGAATCCGAAGGTGGGGGGGGGGGGGGTAGGGGGTTCAGATACTGACAGAGCCACACATTTTCCAATTTACCTTAGCTTCTATTCGGACACAGCCATAAATGTTTACCAAATAAAGTCCTGGAAAGTAAAGGCGGCCGGCGTGATGCTGTTCACATCACCCACCGAGTGCCGGCTCGTCTAGCCCTATATGCCCAATACACCTATGGGTGTGGACAAGTGTCATTTACTATGTAAACAAAAGCAAAGTACCCGCTTTTCACGATTTTAGGCGCCCTAGGCATATAGGGCTAGACCTATATTTCATAGATGAATAGGCACTCGGTGGGTGATGTGGACAGGACTTCCCAGGACTTTACCTTTTACAGAAATTTGAGGCTGGGTCAAACTGGAACCCAAGCTTATATATGTGTGTGTGTATATTTCACCATATATATACATATATATATATATATATATATATATATATATATATATATATATATATATATATATATATATATATATATATATATATATATACATATATATATATATACATTTCAGTCAATGTTTTGTATACATATATGAGCCAATATTATTTACATATATATATATATATATATATGAGCCAATCTTATAAATATATACATTTATAATTTTTTCTCTGATAGAGGAGAGAGCCAGAAACTCATAAGGCAGACTCATTGGCTGGTTCCGGGCTGCTTTTGGTCAAGACGGTTCAGAAAGCACTCAGAAATCATCACACTCTCCAAAGACTGGTGCATCCGGGAGTGGCCAGGTTATCTGCTGCTGCACTAACACCTCGTTAACACCAATTCGCTTTAAAAAAAAAGCATATTTAACATGAACAAAATTATGGTCCCTTTGGGTATGTAATAATTTGAGTAGCCGGTAAGCACGAATTTAAAAAAAAAACCTTTGAATTTTTCGACATCTTGAAATTTGTGTAAACGAGGTTTTACTGTAGTACCATCAGAACTGCACTGACTGCTGGAGATGGGAACAAAGCGATTATGGGACACATCCCAAGTGCAAAAATGTTTTTTTTTCTCTAAGGGCCTCAGATGCCTCAAACTTTTTCTTAAGTGCTCGGAAAAAATGAAATAATTATAATAATTGTTAAAATAATCGTTATAATAATCATTATTATTATAATAAAGTGTACGCTGAATTACTAAATAACATAGTAATGTGTATGATATAATAGTAGATATTACACGTATATACATGCTTAGGATGACTTCTAACCCTCTTTCAAATTAATTTTCCCTCCCCGATTAAAAACTATGGGGCTGGTGGGGGATCAAAGTGCCCCCACCCCCACCCAGCCCACTCCCTCCAGGTTTCAGCCCTTGTGAAAGCATCTGTCCCCCTTTCCTAGCTCTGTGAAATTTACCTTCCGTTGATATGGCTACTGCTGCTGTCCCGACCCACCACAGGTTCCAACCCTGCTGAAAGCATCTGTCCCCCTTACTAACTCTGAGATTTACCTTCCGTTGATGTTGCTACTGCTCCTGTTCTGACCCACCACAGGTTTCAACCCTGCTGAAAGCATCTGTCCCCCTTACTAACTCTGTGAGATTTACCTTCCATTGATGTTGCTACTGCTGCTGTCCCGACCCACCACAGGTTCCAGCCCTGCTGAAAGCATCTGTCCCCCTTACTAGCTGTGTGAGATTTACCTTCCGTTGATGTTGCTACTGCTGCTGTCCCGACCATATCTGGGTAGTGGAGGCTGCCTCCTGGTCTCATCCCTGGGCTGGTCGAAAATGGAAGCTAAAACCGCCTGAACGTCGTTGGGTGACAGATGACTGTTATCTGGGTCATCGGCTGACCGGCTCCGTCTGATACTGGGGACTGCCTGCACCAGGTCCAAGGAGTCTCTGTTTGTTGACCTGAGATCGCGGATAGAGCGGACGAAAAAATAAGGCAAAAACATATTGAATAAACCCTTAAGAGTTCATCTTTTCCCATATAGCAAATTTCTGATGTTAGTTGCATATCTGAAGAGAATGCCTAGTACCAGCTGCCACAGATAGCTACGCTTAAGTAAGCTAACGGAGACTAATCTGCGGGAAGACCACGCAGAAGATGTGGCGATGGCATTAAAAAAAAACAGTCCTAGGGAAATGAAGACCAACTTATACAACGCATTGGACAGAGGATCCTTTGATCCTTCAACACATCGATGATGTAACTAGAGAACAAAGAAAGGAAGAAGAAAGACGTGGAGACTGATAACAAAAAAAAAAACAAGTAGATGAAGGTGTTATGTCGAATCCCTGGGAGGTGACTTTTGATACTGTTTGGCGAAAAACAATAGCCTTGACGATAAACAACACACTTTTGTTAACGCAATATATTAAAACTATAAAAATGCCACGCACAGTTCGCGTATACATAAAAGTTAGTTCTTTGTAATCTTGTGAAGGGGCAGCAGTTTGAAGTCAGGCGCGGAGTTATTCAAGTTGTTTAGGTCAGTGCTTCACATTTGGTTTTCAGCGGTTCTCCGCGTGTCAAGGCAGATCTCTGGGAGTGAAGATGCCAGAGCAGTGACAACATCGTCTATCAAGTGTCGTTCGGTCCATAATACATGTGGTCTTGCCCTATAAGCCCACTCCGCCATCGGCATAATAGGGGGTCTTTTCTTTATAGCGAAAGCTGACGCCCGCGATCAGTTCGAAACGCTGGGGTCTTCTCTCAAAATGAGTTTTGCTGCTGCATGATAACGCCCGCCTCACACGGCTGCGCATATAGTGGATATAATACATACTCTGCGGTTTGAAATATTCAAATATCCAGCATACAGCCTAGGCATAACACGATCGGACTTTCATTCGTTTGGCCGATTGAAAGAACTTTTGCGGGGTCAAAGATTTAGAGAATGTAATGATGAGATGTCAGTAGTACAGACTTGGTTAATGGCCACACCAAAAAGCTTTTGCCTGACAGGCATCTATAATTTGTGGATTGGTGGATTGCATGCGTCGCAAGATAGGAAGACTATGTCGAGAAATGGGACTGTGAACAACGTATTAATACAATTGCCTTTCCCTAATGATTTCTCCTCGTAGTATAAGATAGGTCGATTACTTACCTAATAATATGAAACACAAAAAACATGACCACATATTCACTTTCAGTTAATAGCCTCAACAGAAGGTTAGATCTTTATATAGTCCCATGCCGTTTGGCGTTGGTAGTCATGTTTATCAAACTCCCTTGTGTCCTGGCTACTTTGAGTCACTTCTTATACAGATGGTATTTCATGCCAAATTATTTTTCTGCGCAGCATCTTCTCTCTCTCTCTCTCTCTCTCTCTCTCTCTCTCTCTCTCTCTCTCTCTCTCTCTCTCTCTGACTCTCTATCTCTATCTCTGACTCTCTGTGTCTCTCTCTCGCTCTCTCTCGCTATCTCTCTCTCTCGCTATCTCTCTCTCTCTCTCTCTCTCTCTCTCTCTCTCTCTCTCTCTCTCTCTCTCTCTCTCTCTCTCTCCCTCTCTCTTATCCTCCAATGTTCCTACCGTCACGATATACTCCAGTTTCCTCTTTCCCATCACATTACCAAATATTGCATATCTTCTCTTCTGAAGTGGGCAATTAAACCTTTTCATGATCCAGTTTCTTCATTACTCTTTCCTTTTTATCTGTCTTGTAAGCTATTTTCATAATTCATCTGCAAAACCACATCTCCGCGGCTTCAAATTATTTCACTAATCGTAGAACTATCCCTGATTCGCTTCCGCATAGCTGGATCAGACTTATGTAGCTCCTGAGAATTATCTTTCCCATCTCAACTCACAAAGAAAGATTGAATGGGAAAATACTTAATTGAGCAAAATATTCATTTTGTAAAATGCCGACTTTTAGATAACTGTAATGAAAACGTCCAGGTGTCAAAAGTTAATCGTCTTAGAAGAAACAGTCATTACATAAACCCGATCCGGGCATTGCTAGCCCTTGAACAGCTGTACAAGTTAAGTAATGAAACCTTTTCCACACCATTAGACTTGGTGGACATACAGTGCTAGACCTATCTTATATTGTATAGACCAATCAGCACTCGTTGGGTGATGTGGTCAAAATCGCGCCTGACGCCTTTACTTCCCTAGACTTAACCTAATTTAATTTTGGGGCTGGATCGACCTGAGAGCCAAGTCATGTCTCAAAAAAAAATTTTGAACCGACAAACTTTGAATCCGTAAGCAAGTTTCCAGCCGCTACATCATGGCGACTCCCGATAAGGAATTGTGCTAAAACAATAAAAAGAGTAACATTCTCACCGTTTCCCCAACCGTAACATCTGCAGACCTCGCCCAAATCTCGCCTCGCCGTTGTGGTTGTTGTTAGCAGCCGTGGCATCCCTAGAGTTATCTTCTGAAGCTTGTACGAAGTTGCCTGTATTGACGATATGATGCACATATTTGGAGCAGAGACGCTTATTCAAAGATATAGCATAGAGTATTTTAGAGAGAGAGAGAGAGAGAGAGAGAGAGAGAGAGAGAGAGAGAGAGAGAGAGAGAGAGAGAAAACAAGGCGGGGTGGGGAGGGGAGGAGGGGACGCATAGTTACTGAAAACATAATTTTTACATTCGAAATCTTTGTAACTTAATGAGTGAAACTGTTCAATTTGCACCCAAGAAAAGTCCTGTTTCAGCCAATCAATAGATAGTTATTTTTCATCAGGCTCATCGATAGTTTTTAGGCTTGCAGGCTTTCCTGTGAACTAAATTTTTTTTTTTTTAAACGCGCCCTCAGATAACTGTGTCTTTTACCAGTGTATTACCATTGGTTTCGACACTGGTATCGAGAAGCCGACCGTCCAGCAGCAATGGCAAACTACTGGACGTAAATTTTCCTAGAAAAACTACAACAGCCAAACAAATGCTGGGGTTGGTTCTGCAACGTCCTGTAAAGGATAAGCAACTAACTTATTAACATCATAGGTGAATACTCAGGCCATTTGCCTCGTACTTTGAAAGTGGCGGTTCGCTTCACTGTGCGTTTTTCGGTTCACTAGTGCAAGTTTTACAGAGATTTCTATGGATCGTTGCCAGAGCCAGGGAGTTCGTGATTTGTGTAAGCCTTTTATCAGGAGGCTATTCGTGCTGCGGAGAGATAATGAGACATGTCTGATAATACCTAGTGCAATAATTTTCTTCTTCTTCTTCTTCTTCTTCTTCTTCTTCTTCTTCTTCTTCTTCTTCTTCTTCTTCTTCTTCTTCTTCTTCTTCTTCTTCTTCTTCTTCTTCTTCTTCTTCTTCTTCGTGTTCACCAGCTGTAAACTTCGGCAAAACGTTCTGGATGTTCGTCCCCTTCTGTTCCAGAACTTTACTTTTGCGTGCACATAAGCTTTACAGTACTCGCTTATTGGTAAGCAGACTGTTGGTTTCTCGCCCTCATACAGAAGCACTCCGACTTTGAATTAAACACTCATAATTACTCGATTTTTCCGACAGGCTTGTTATGGGAGATGAATTCGTTTTGTTTGTTCCTCCAAAATGGACTAGCTCTCAGTCACAAAGGAAGAAAGTTTAGGGTTTTGAGCTGAAATGCTATAGACAGATTTTTAGCAGACCGTTGGCCGAAATAATGACATTCTAAAGGAATTGAACATCAACGGAGATTGCCTCGTTAACAATAACTTGTCTGGGAAGCTGAAATAGATTGGCCATATCAAACGCCACAGTGGATGGGGAAGAACAGCAGGTACTGGAGGCCACGGTGGATGTGAAAGAACAGTAGGTACTGGAGGACACGGTGGATGTGAAAGAACAGTAGGTACTGGAGGCCACGGTGGATGTGAAAGAACAGTAGGTACTGGAGGCCACGGTAACAAGCAAGTGGGGGATGGGGCAGGGGTCGACTAGAAAGGTGGGCACATGTCCTTAACAAACAGCTTTGGTATGAAAGTGAACAAGGCGGGATATTTTGTGTAATGGTGTCTATGACAGGATAGCAGTATGTTCCTTTGAACACCAAGTCGACGTTTGTAGGGGTCAACTTTCTACAGAAGAAATGTACTTGTTGATCCTTCTTATGACATTGCAGCCAACCATATACCTGAGTAATTCTTGAATGTTGAATTAAGAACCGACATCATGGCACCAGGGACACCCCCACCTCCATCTTCGGCCTCTTAGTCAGTTCCAATTCCGATGGCACCAGTAACTGCCTGATTGTCTATCCGTCTGGTTAAATCTTGGTTAATTCTTGGTGGTTTTTCTGGGTAATTGTGCTTTGAATAGTTATGTTTTGTTTACTGATATCAACGGTGGCCTGTAACTGAATCGAACCGGATAATTCAGATTTAAAAACCTCGGTCGTAACCCATAAGTCACAGTCGCAGACGACAAAAAAAAAAATAGCATTACTTTACTGTGTCTCATTGTGTAGCAGGTCTTTTGCAGAAACTATTTGTTTCTTGTGTGGTCGGCCTCTTCTTCACTTCCCGCCTAATCTGTACATCATTGCTTGCAGTTGTATCATGCTCTCTTTGCTACTACAGCAACAGATACTGATGCTATTACTAACACAACCACTCCCTTACTTTGACCACAACTGCTACTACTACGTCCATTACTACTACTACTTTTGCTACTATCATTACAAATAACACTACAATTACTAATACTGATACTGTTTTAGTCGCCGTCGCCGCAACAGTTGCAATTATGACTGAGAAACAAAAATACTTAGAAAAAGAAAAGAAACTCTAAAGTCAAGTTAGAAATGTACACACAGAAAAATATATTACAGCCCTCTAAAAAAATATAAATACAAAATCTTTAAATTCGATAACACCAATTTACGGAACAAATATTTACCAGTCATCAAAACAATTGTGCAGAAGCACACCCAGGTGTCAGATAAGCAGTTCATTGTTCTGTCTCTAGAATGACTGTGAGGGAGATGTTGATTCCTACGAAGTTTCCTGCCACGAACTCTACTACTCGAGTGTCCTTTTACGAAGCTTTTAAAGGGTCCAGTTTTCTTGGTGTTAAATTGTCCGGGGTAACCGATCCTGCTATTGGCTACATTTTGTGACCACTTTGTTCTGAGGTGACGTAACTGAAATGTGAGTGGTTTCTTCATGTGGGAAAAAAAAGATAAGGGTCAAGTGGGTTCGTATGGGCGTGACCCATGCTGTCACGGAATTATTGTATTGGCTAACAAGTTGCTTTTGTTTAATAAACAGAGAAGACAAGGCTTGCATGTGTGTTTGTGTGTGTGTGTGTGTGTGTGTGTTCGTGTGCGCGCGTGTGTGTGTGTGAAATAAAGAAATAGAAAGACACGGAGAAAGAGAGAAAGAAATATTTGGGAGAAGAGGCAAGTGTGACTTGGAATTTACGAAGTCTGCTGTTGCATGTGCCAGTTTGATGATCGACACTGGAAGACACACACACAAAAAGCTAACGTTTCAAGCAAAATCTTTATTGGTGCACAAAGCGAAAAGTTAACGACTGCAGAGACAAAAGAATCGTCCTATTTTGACGAGGTTCAGTAATTAAAATTATCATTATGATTATTATCACTCCAATATCATTCTCACCGCCAAATCTTCGCCATCATAACCACCATGTCATCACCACCACCATCATCATCATCATCACCGAAACCTTGTTATCACCACTACATCTTCATCATTATCTCCTCATTATCATCCTCACTACCACAATATCATCATCAGCCCTCATATCTTCATCAACAGTTCCTCATTACTTCCTCGCTGTTACCATTACCTCGACATCATCACTTCATTATAATCACTTCATTATCATCTCACCATCATCACCTCATCATTATCACCTCATCAACCTCACCTCACCATCATCTCACTGTCATCACATCACCTTATCATCATTATTAAGATCATCTCAACATTATTACCTCACCCTTATCACCTTACCATCGGTACTTCATTATCATCAACATCACAGTGTCCTCACAACACCATCATCACCTCATCAAAATCACCTCTCCATCATTGCCTTTTCTTTATGGTTTCACCGTTGTCACCACACCATCATTATCATCATCATCATCATCATCATATTAGCATCAGCCCCTCATCATCTCACCATCGTCACCTCATCATTACCTCAGCATTATAATCTCACCATCGTCACCTCATCATTACCTCAGCATTATAACCTCACCATCGTCACCTCATCATTACCTCAGCATTATAACCTCACCATCATCACATTATCTTAGCATAATCACCACACTATTATCACTTTATCATCATCATCTCATTTTCATCAAGTCATTATCATCTTACCCTCATCACTTTATCATCGTAATCATCTCGCCATCATAACCTCGTCATCATCACCTCATCATCATCTCACGATGAACTTATCATCATCATTTCAGCAGCATCACCTCATTATTATCATCTCAACATTAAAATATCATCATTATCCCCCACATCATCAACATCATCACCTAATCATCACCACCTCATCACTATAATCACCATCATTATAATCATCATCACCCAACACCATCATCATCTCATCATCATTTTGCCACTATCATCACCTTATTTTCATCATCATCTTAAGATAACAACCTCATCAGAATTACCTCATCCTCATCATTACCTCCTCACCATCATCACCTCATCATCATTACCTCCTCACCATCATCACCTCGTCATTATTCTCCATTAATAACCATCATCACCTTATCACCATCACCACCGCCTTGTCACCACCACTACTACCTCAGTATCTTCACCACATCATGAAGTCAGCATAATGTCGCTGGTGCTGTTGTTACTAATCATCTTCTGTTTACCCTTCTTCCTCTAAATCTTCCTCCTTCTCCATCATTTTCTTGGGATTCCAACTTGTGGAAACGGTTTGACATGAAAATGTTGAACGGGCCTCACTACAGCAAGCATCTTGCTATCCAGTATGTGTTGACCTTTCATTTAGCTGTCAGGGCGTTCGTCGCCAGGCAAACGTACAATTTAACGCTGCACTGTTTTCAGAAGAACGATACTGTCATCAACTGCCTCTACATATTACCCGTATACTTCTCACAACTACTAGGAAACGCCACCTTCTGGGTTAACCAACACCCGACCGTTGTCCGTTAAATGAGATTCCCTTTTGATCCTAATGAGCAGTCTATATGTGTGTACTTGAAAGTTCACTCTTGTGTGGCTTCTTTATTGTATTTGATGAAGGGTCTTCCGCTTATATTTTAAAGTCGCATGCAAATGTGTAACATGGTCAAACAGACTGTGTCAAGTGGTGTATAGGTCTTGAACTCTTCATATGCGAAGTTATTTTCGAATAGTATCTTATTATTTTTATTGTGTTCGCTCTCTGATTTACACCTACAGACCAGTTCTTGTGATACAATTTGCTGATTGTTAGGTGTGTTTTTTTTTTTTTGGTTTTTTTTTTAGTTTCACACAACTTTGAGTATGATGTTACAGCATTCGGTTATTGATAATCATTATAATGACTGATTGACTGATTGCCCCACCAGGACATCACACAAGCGATAAACACCCGATGACACAAAGTGCCACCATGTGGATGAGGATCACCGTGGAGAGGTCCCAGAAACCGCGTTCAGACAATTGGCCATATTTATGGCCTGCCTATATTGCGGCCCCTGGCAAAAGCCAGGGTGGGGCTTCAAATAAGAAAAAAAAATCGTCCTAAAACATACAAAAGAGTTCATAACTATAATGGACAAACTTGCAGGACACACAGTCCACAAAGGCACAATGGTGAACTACTTAGACGAAGCATGTGCATATGTTTGTTAAGTTTGTAATGTCCTGTCTTGATGCATAGTAGGATGATCTGTCCCATGCCAATAAAGTAGGTGGCAGCCATCTTCCGCAGATTCAGTTAACTTCTGACAGAATAGATGCCTCCTTTCCTATCAAAGTATGTTACTGCATTGTTTCCCTGTTCGCATTCTGTCCCTTTCTTGGCAAGTTTATCTGCAGTTGTGGTTCCTAGCAGCATCTCATCTACAATATACTGGACAACTTAGAAAGATAGTACTAAATTAAAATATGTTTAAAAGAAAAAGCTGATCCATCAATGCCCAGTTGTGGTTTAAAGGTTAGCTAAAGCATTTTACAGCTTCAGGATTTTCTAGAGCTGGGTTTCGATTCCTACAGTGGGCGGGTTTTAAAAGCGGTTCTCGTGGTTTTCGGACAGTAGTGCGAGAATCTCACCGTGAAAGAGATTGGGACCTTATCACGTAGTATTATTTCACAAAGACAACAATGAGTAGACTGTAGCTAAACTTCACTGTGGAGACGTTACGCCGTTTCTTTTTTCTGTATCGTTAATGCTGGCAGGTATGGAATTAAACAGAGGGGACAGGTCAAAACAACTATAGCCTGGACTGCTCTTGAAGTATGACGTTGAGTAGAAGTTTTGAAATGCTTAACGATACGTCATGATATTCATAGAACTGACAGTTGGCGCAACAATGAAGTCCCTGGTACGAAGAATAACGCATGTGTGTCGTTGATGTAAAGAATTCCCTAGCTAGAACGTCTGAGACAGAGTGAGATTCCCTAGCTAGACCGTCTGAGACAGAGTGAGATTCCCTAGCTAGACCGTCTGAGACAGAGTGAGATTCCCTAGCTAGACCGTCTGAGACAGAGTGAGAAATTATATCAGACATATTTGTGGGTCAAACACCATGCACAAGCGGGGCTAGACCTATATTTTATAGACTAATTGGCACAAGATGAGTGATGTGGTCAGCATCACGCCGGCCGCCTTTACTTCCCAGGACTGCACCTGGTACCCACTCAAGGCTGGGTCGACCTGGGAGCCAAGGTCACTTTTTTTTTAAATCCGGCTCCGCCAGGTAGCGAACCCACGACTTTCCGATCCGCGGGGAGTGTCTAGCCGCTCCGCCATGGCGACTCCCTACCAAGGCATGCTCTACATCTAAAGAGATCGGATTTGTCAGCAAACGGGCACCCAAGGAGGACATGAATTGATGACATTAAGGACATTGAACACATGAACTGAATGACAAAAGCCAGTATTATTAGCCTACTAGCGTTGGACGGCAAACTGTTCCTCGCCACGACGCTTAACTCAAATGTGCAAGTTGATTGTGATGGATGATATTGCACATCCACAGTTCATGAAAATGTCCAGTGCTATTCATTGAGCGATTGACACCAATTTTCCCTCCCTACGGTGCTTAAAAGTGGAAGCTGATTTTGAATAGGATGACGATGACCAGAACGATGACAACAACGATGATGGTGATTATAATGATTATGCTAATTTGTAAAGATGGGGTCATTTTGAAAAAAAACTAAACTTTTAAAATGAGATTTTCTCATATTTTATAAAACTAAAGATTACCTTCTTCTGTCTTCTTCGCGTTCTCCGGCAGAAAATTCCAGAGGAAAGTTCGGTTTGTTTGTCACCTCTAGAATTGAGTCTTGTACTAGATACTGAATGTTGCCTGTGCATACATTTGTCCGATCTGATTTATTTGCACGCAAACTTTTGGTTCCTTGGCTCTCATGCAGATGCACTTCCTCTCAGAGAGAAACATCAATTAGTTTACTCTTACGACATGCTTATTGAGAAGGCAGTGGGTCTGTTTTTGTTTTACCCCACAACTGGACCTTGGAACTCACAGGGGAGAACACAACGTTTAACCAGGCAGCTAGAATAAAAACAACAATAAAAAGAACATTGATTTGAATCTCAATAAGGTTAAACAAGATGTTAGCATGTTTTGGTCAGATATGAATGAGCTAGATTATAAAAACTATGGTAAACATCACTGCACATTGGATATTCTCACACGTGCTCTGTTACTCGATACAGCAGCAACTCCAAAGTACTTATACCGATTTTACTTAT